TCCATTTGCTTGGTAAATCTTCCTCCATCCCTTTATTTTTGGCCTATGTGTATCCTTGCATGTGAGGTGGGTTTCATGAATACAGCACACTGATGGATTTTGACTTTTTATCCAATTTTCCAGTCTGTGTCTTTTGATCAGGGCATTTAGCCCATTTACATTTAAGATTAATATTGTTATGTGTGAATTTGATCCTTCCATTTTGATGCTAGCAGGTTGTTTTGCCCATTAGTTGATTCAGTTTTTTCATTGTGTCAATGGTCTTTATCATTTGTTACATTTTTGGAGTGGCTGGTACTGGTTGTTCCTTTCCATGTTTAGTGCTGTTTTTTTTTTTTTTTTTTTTTTTGAGGCAGAGTCTTACTCTGTCACAAAGCTGGAGTGCAGTGGCACAATCTCGGCTCACTGCAACTTCCGCCTCCTGGATTCAAGCAATTCTTCCACCTCAGGCTTCCGAGTAGCTGGGACCACAGGCATGTGCCACCACGCCTGGCTAATTTTTGTATTTTTAGTAGAGATGGGGTTTCACCATGTTGGCCAGGATGGTCTCAATCTCTTGACCTCATGATCTGCCCACCTCGGCCTCCCAAAGTGCTGGGATTACAGGCATGAGCCGCTGCGCCCAGCTGTTTAGTGCTTCTTTCAGGAGCTCTTGTAAGGCAGGTCTGATAGTGATGAAATCTCTCAGCAATTGCTTCTCTGTAAAGGATTTTATTTCTCCTTTGCTTACGGAGCTTAATTTGGCTGGATATGAAATTCTAGGTTGAAAGTTCCTTTCTTTAATGATGTTGAATATTGGCCCCTACTCTCTCCTGGCTTGTAGAGTTTCTGCTGAGAGATCCACCTTGAGTCTGATGGGCTTCCTTTTGTGAGTAACCTGACCTTTCTCTCTGGCTGTGCTTAGCATTTTTTTTCTTCATTTCAATCCTGGTGAATCTGATGATTATATGCCTTGGGATGGCTCTTATTGAGAAATATCTTTGTGGTGTTTTCTGTATTTCCTGGACTTGAAAGTTAGCCTGCCTTGCTAGGTTAGGGAAGTTCTGGATAATATCCTGAAGATTTTTTTCCAGCTTGGATTCTTTCTCCCTGTCACATTCAGGTACAGTTATCAAACGTAGATTAGGTCTTTTCACATAATGCCATATTTCTTGGAGGATGTGTTTATTTCTTTTTACTCTTTTCCCTCTTATATTGCCTTCTAGTTTTATTTCATTGAGTTGATCTTCAATCTCTGATATCCTTTCTTCTACTTGGTTGATTCGGCTATTGGAACTTGTGTATGCTTCGCCAAGTTCTCATGGTGTGTTTTTCAGCTCCATCAAGTCGTTTATGTTCTCTAAGTTAGTTATTCTAGTTATCATTTCGTCTAACCTTTTTTTCAAGGTCCTTAGTTTCTTTGCATTGGGTTAGAATGTGTTCTTTTAGATCAGAGAAGTTTGTTATTACCCACCTTCTGAAGCCTGCTTCGGTCAATTCATCAGACTCAATCTCCATCCAGCTTTGTTCTCTTGCTGGTGAGGAGTTGTGATCACTTGTAGGAAGAGAAGTGTTCTGGTTTTTGGAATTTTCATCCTTTTCGTGTTGGTTCCTTCCCATCTTCGTGGATTTATCTACTGTGGTCTTTGAAGTTGGTGACTTTCAGATGGGGTCTCTGAGTGGATGTCCTTTTCGTTGATGTTGAAGCTATTTCTTTCTGTTTGTTAGTTTTCCATCTAACAGTCAGGCTCCTCTTCTGCAGGACTGCTGGAGGTCCATTCCAGACCCTGCTTGCCTGAGAATTACTCACAGGGGCTGCAGAACAGTAAGGGTTGCTGCCAGTTTTTTCTTCTGTTATCTTCGTCCCAGAAGGATACCCACCAGATGTCAGTCAGAGCTCTCCTTTATGAGGTGCCTCTTTGGATATATGGAGGTTGGGGAGCCACTTAAGGAGACAATCTCTCCCTTATCAGGGCTCAAATGCTGTGCTGAGAGCTCCACTGTTCCATTCAGAGCTGCTGGGCAGGTACATTTAATTTTGCTGCAGCAGAACTCATAACCACCTCTTTTCCCAGGTGCTTTGTCCTGGGAAGCTGGGGCTTTATTTATAAGTTCCTGATGTGCTGCTGCCTTTTTTCAGAGATGTCCTGCCCTGCACGGAGGTAGTCTAGTCACAGTCTGCCAGGAGAGGCATTGCTTAGCTGCCGTGGTCTCTGCCCAACTGCTGTGTAAATTTCCTTGCAGTTATGTTTATAGAGGTACCTTTAGAACTGCCTTGGTAATGTCAGTCTGCCTCAGTAATGGCGAATTGCCTCGGTAATGGTGGACTGCCTCAGTAATGGTGGACTTCCTTGGTAATGGCGGTCTGCATCAGAGATGGTGGACTGCCTAGATAGTGGTGGACTGCCTCAGTAATGGTGGACACCCTTCCTCACACAGAGCTGGACCATCCTGTGTCCAGTTATGCTTACTTTGAAACTCTCAATCCAGAGTGCTTCAGATTGCTGGTCTTTGTGGGGATGGGATGTGCTGAGCCAGAGATCACCTGGCTTCCTGCTTTCAGCCCCTCTTTTTCAGTTGAGTGGGTGGCTCTGTCTCCCAGGTGTTCCAGGTGCCAGTTGAAATGGCTCCCCAGATTTTTGTGTGGAAACCCATGGCTCCAGCTGAAACAGCTGTGCTGGAAACTCATGGCACTTTTCGGACTGGGAATCTCCTGTTATGTGGGCAGTAAAAACTGTGGGAGAAGCCCAGTGGCTGAACTGCCATGCTAGAGTGGATGTAAAAACACTCGATGGCCTCCCTTCGGTAGGGATGGGTATCCTCCGGGGATTGCACTTCCTCTGCAAGGCAGCACCCTGTCTCACCTCGGCTTGCCCTTCTGGGCTATACCCACTGTGCAACCAGTCCAATTGAGATGCACCTGGTACCTCATTTGGAAATGCAGATCAGTCACCCTCTGTGTTGTTCTTGCTGGGAACTGCACTCCAGAGCTGTCCTTATTCGGTCATCTTGAATTTCTCCCTAGGTGTTTTTTTTTTTTTTGTATGTGCTAATGGTGTTAGAGTGTGAAATTACTAGTCCTTTCAGGCTTTTCCGATGAATTTGAAACATGCATAGTGAACTCCCTTATTTGCTCTCCTGTGGTGTTGACAGGGAGAGAAGAACAGCAAGCACTGTTGAATGCCTGAATTCACCTCCACTATCCCCAGGGGAAATCCACTAAACGCTGTGTCCCGTGCTGTGGGCTGTGAACGAGTCAAGATGAACAAAAGTAAACAAAGGATTCCCAGGAAACTCCATCCAGATGAAATCCTTAATCTGCAGGGTAAGTACAATGGATGAAAAGCTGAGGACACTAATGAGAAAACTTTGTGGTTGGGAAAGGAAACTCTAACCCTGGGGGAAGAGGAAAGTACAGGAAAAGTTGGAAGCTCACCCCAGAGCCATTATTACTACTTATGATTAAGAAGGACACTTATTGGAAAGGTTGCAGAATGTCCCCATGTGCTCAGGCCCCTTCACCACATGGTCAACTAGGTCTGCAGAGTAATGATCTAGCTGCATCGACTCCATTCTGGCCTCTGTCTTGTGACAGTTCTTTGTAGATTTCCTTTCTCCTCTCTCATGCTTTATTATTTCGTTCAACTCCTAGCTCAATTCTCCTTTTAATTCTTAGTTTATTGAAGAGATTCACATTTAGCTTAGAACATTCAAATCTTTAAAGACATTTTCATCTTAAACCCATCAAATCAAATCATCTCTCTCCAGGAGTGCCCATCTCCGTTTATTTCCTCCTTTCCTTTGGTGTACGGCCCTTGTTTCTACCTGAGTCCAGCTCTTACTCTCATGGGCATGAGTCCAACCATCACACACTCAGAAACATCTTGTAGGAATGAACCCTACCATCCATCTTCCCAGCCTTCATGTGCACAGTGGCCATGCCTTCAGCTGTGATACGTGATTAGGGATTTCCATTTAAAAAGTGTCTTTCATTATCCTTCAAAATAAAGCTATTGGACCTTAAACACCTTCAAGATTCAGTACTCTTCTCTGTCCCTTTGTTGTTAATATTGTTTTATTCCGTTAAAATTCACTGGGAACATCAGTGACATAGAAGTGACCTGCCTACCCATTGCATTATCTGACTTCTGACTAACTGACCACCCAGGAGCTTGTAGTTGATGGGGCCATCTGGATCTTTATCAATAAAAGGTTTGTAATTTATTAGGGAACGACTGAGACCAGCAGGTGCCTGAGCTCCTAAGAACACAGGTGTGGTCCTGCAGTAGAGTCTGTGTTACTGAAATCACATCTGTGTATAATTCGTGGCCTCAGCCAAGAAGCTGCTGCCAGCTTCTGGCCGTTCCTGGGTAGCCTGATGTGGGTTGTCCACAGAAGGATGGATGCAGGATATGGATATCAGAAAGTGATGTGGTGTTGGGGGCTTTGACAGCCAAATTTCATTGAAAGTCTCTTCTGCCCTTGGTACTTGGGGATGTCTGGGAAGAAGGGAACAAAACTCAGACCCCATGTGGCTCCTCATTAAGTTAGAGATTCAGTGCAGTTTTAGAAAGTTGAAGAAATAAACTATACTTTCAGGGATCATGTCTATAGTTCATTTGGCGAAGTTGAAGAAAAACAGTGATGTGGGTGATTTGGTGTGGTTTTCTGTGACATACTTCTGAGACAGCAGAAGATGGTTGGTGGTCAGTCTCCATCCAGCTGGTACTCATTGTCCATTTGTTACTTCCAAATAAAAGACAAAAGACATCTTGTGTGGCACCAGACACCAGGGATCGTTTCAGAGACCTTGACCAAAAATGGACAACAGGGCCATGATGCAATTTTATATGAGAGCTACTATTTTTGCCGACTTCATGTGGAAATCTGAGAGCTGTGCCCAGCCTCAGGGGGCTGCTTCTTCTCCCAGGAGACAGAGCTAACAGAGTTATGTGGGATTAGTCTGTGTGGGTCTTCTTAAGAAGACAACAGTTGTGGATGGTTTAAAGAACAAACACTGATTGTTTTTTTAGCTTTATAATAGTCTGTTTTAATAGAAACATGTGTTGGAATCAATCAATGTCCATTTCAGGAAGCTTCTTGTCTGAATCCGAAGGCACAGCTGTGTCTGTACCCTGCTCAGCAGCCTGGGGGCCCGGGTTGTCTCCTTGTCCATCCACCGGTCCATTCTGCTCTGCATTGTTTTGTTCCTCTTTTGGAGGTTCCACTTTGGGTTTGGGCTTTGAAATTATAGGGCTACAAGTACTTGTCAGCTCCCTAATTTTAGCTTCAATCTCTTTTGACTTGACAACTGGATCCATGGTCAAACTCTGCTTGTTCTGCAGATTTAGCTTGTTATTCATCCATTCCATGGCCTCATTTGTGCTTTTTTCTACCTTCGTCATGTCAGCAGCATCCAAATGATCATACTGGTCCTCCTTGTTTTTGAAAGCACTGATTATCTTCATATACTGCTGGATCTGTTTCCCTAGTTCTTCAAATAATTTTGGTCGTTCTTCAGATTCTTGGAATCGCGTCATAATAGGTTGACCTAGATTTTTTAATTCAGCCAGCTTATCAACATAAACTTGCTTTGGCTGGTCTTCTCCATCCTCATACAACCAATTTTCAGTATCTTCTAGTTTTAAAGTAAAAGTGTTATGATCATCTTCACTCACAAACTTCTCATATTCACCACTAAGCTTGTCTCTCATTTCATACACATATTCCTCCACAGCATTCTTAGCATCATTCTGCTCCTTCTCCAGTTTATCTTGCATGATCATCTTACCCTCATTTTCAATGTACAAGTTGAGCATCTCTCTGTCTATCTGCCATAATAGCTGACTCTCAATTGGCAGGTCCACAGTACTAGTCTTCACTTTTGCCTTCTTGGCTTGGGGTGGTTGGTCCATCTTTTTGTCCTTTGATCCAGCTTGAGAGGTCTCCATTTCTTCAGACTCTGCCTTATTTTCTGCTGGTGTCTGCTGCTGTTGCTCTTCAACATGTGGTTCCTCCTGGTCCACTTGCATCTTCTCTTCCTCCTTTGCATTCTGATCTGTTTCCATTGGCTCCTCATTTTCCTCAGACTTGTGTACCTCCACTAAGGATGCACTGGACACACTGAAAATGCCATGGACATTGACTCGAACTTTAACTTTCACTTTTGAACTGGAGCCATCAGACTGAGGAGTGACTTTCTGAACTGAAAACTGAGCTATAGCAGGATCTGGATAGGGCAAATCTTGAGGAGAGCTGTAATACGCCTCAAGAGTAAACGGTTCCTTTCTATAAAATGTAAGGACTTTAGAGAAAGGAGCAGCGTGATTTTTGGAAAAGACTTCACAGTCACTTGACCCTTCTTCAGCTGGAGAATTCCATCTCAGAGATATTGGATATGGTACTACATCTGTGATAGAAAATTCTCTGACTTTGAAAGCAGGCGATAAGATGGCGCACTGCAATGCACAACCTCGAGTGACAGCTTCATCAGCATTAGTGTTGTACTAAGTTCTTTACCAAAAAATTTGCTGATCTTCTCTTTTACTGCAGGGATTCGTGTAGCACCACCAACTATCTCCACTGCATAAATATCTTCTTTCTTTAACTTGGCTTGTTCCAAAACACTATGAAGTGGTGGCTCCACTCTAGCTAAGAGATCACTGCACATCTCCAGAAATTTGCCTCTATTCATAGTTCCAGATACATCAACATCATTCATAAAACATTCAATGCTCAAGGGGAGATCTGAAGCATTTGCACTCATCAATTTCTTGAGTTTCTCACACGCTTGAGAGAGTCGTAATAATGCCCGGATTTTGGACTTTATGTCTAGTTTGTATTTCTTCCCAAATTCTTCACAGAAGTGATTTACTAACACTTCATCAAATTTTCTGCCTCCCAATGTTGTGTCAAATGCAGTGGCCAGAACTTTCAGTTTTCCTCTATTAAATGCACATAGAGAAACTTGGTAAGCAGAATGGCCCATGTCTACAAAAACTACATTTCTTGGTTTCTCTTCTAAGTCAGGAAGATCTTGCTTATAGATTCCATATGCAAGAGCAACCGCAGTAGTTTCATTCATTAGTCGCAAGCAATTAAGACCAGCAATCTGTGTTGCATCCATCACCGATCGTCTTTCTGCATCAGTATAGAAGCAAGGAACCTGGCTTTTAGCTGCTGCTCCAATTGAACGATTCTTAGGACCAAAAGAAATGCATGCCGGCGTGCAGCGGTCGCTATATTCATTAGCAATAGTCTCGATGCCGCCAGCGCGGGCCACAGTGACGTAGCAGCTCTGGAAGCCCAGGTCTATGCCCACTACCGACATGGCGCCGGCTATTGCTCGGGCTCGGGCCCAGCTCCGGCCGCCGAGACAGGACACGGACCCCGGCGGGGCTAGCGCGTGGAAAGCAGGCCTCTTGGGCCGAGGCTACCGAGGGGCGTGCGGCGCTCACGCGAGCGCCTAGGTCCTTAGAGTGGGTACTCACAAACACTGATTTTTATCACAATTCTGCAGTCTGAATGTTGAAGATCAAGGTGCTGTCAGGGTTGGTTCTTGGTGAGGCTTCTTCCTGGCTTGCACAGGGCCACCTTCCAGTGCACTGTGTCTCAACGTGGCTCTTCTCTGTGTGCACGCGAAAAGTGAGAGGTCTCTGGTGTTATTTCGTCTTCTTACAAATAAAACAGGTCTATTGCATTAGGTTCTCACATTTATGACCACATTTAACCTTAATTATATCCTTACAATTCTGTTTTCCAAAATAGATCCCTTGGAACTAAGCTTTCAGTATACGAATTTCAAAGAAGGCACAATTCAATTGATGACACAAATCAAGAGATGCTGAGAAGCATTAGTATTTTTTTAATCAATAAGGTATAAAGGGTCATGCAGTCACATGTTGGAAAGTTTCTAGTAATTGTTGAAACTTCAACTGTAAGAGAAAAATTTGTCTTCCTCCTTTCTTTGCTGGCACAAGGATGTGAGGAGGTAGAACCACAGATAATAAAGAAAGGGGAGCCCTGGACACAGCTGAGGCGCTGGCGGGGAGGGAGACCGCTGAGCAGATGAGGAAGCCCCGCCCTCCCTGCACCTGCCCCGACCCAGCCTCGGGCTCTGTGGGCCCTGCGCGCCCCCTGCTGGTCCTGAGCAGCCCCTGCGCCCGCCCCGCCGCCTCCTGCAGGGGGGTTTGTGTCTGGGCTGAGACTCACCTCCCCTCACTGTGTCTCGCACAGTAATACACGGCCGTGTCCGCGGCGGTCACAGAGCTCAGCCTCAGGGAGAACTGGTTCTTGGACGTGTCTGCTGATATGGTGGCTCGACTCTTGAGGGACGGGTTGTAGTAGGTGCTCCCACTATGATAGATGTACCCAATCCACTCCAGCCCCTTCCCTGGAGGCTGGCGGATCCAGCTCCACCAGTAACCACTGCTGATGGAGTAACCAGAGACAGCGCAGGTGAGGGACAGGGTCTCCGAAGGCTTCACCAGTCCTGGGCCCGACTCCTGCAGCTGCACCTGGGACAGGACCCCTGTGAACAGAGACACCCGGTGAGCCCTGGGCTCAGAGGCAGCCCCCATATCTTCATATCTGCACCCCTGGGACACTCACGTCTGGGAGCTGCCACCAGGAGAAGGAAGAACCACAGGTGTTTCATGCTCTTGCACGTGATGTCCATGACTCTCAGAAAGTATTTCCAACGTGAGCAGGACCCTGAATTTAAGGAAACGTGTGGTGGTTTCCTGTCGGTGCCTAAGTGAGGATTTGCATGTGGGTGGTGCCTTTGTATGGAGCAGTGAAAAGGGATGAGGAGGCCCCAGTCTTTCAGACTCTCCCTGGGAGGATGCTGGCTGTGCCCTCTGAGAACTTAGTTCTCTTCCTGGGGCCTCCCCCCGAAAAGCCCAGAGTCCTCTTCCTCCAGGTAGGGAGATGTGCTGAAGGAGCTGGTCTGGGAGATGAGTGTGATCATGGATGAAGGATACATTGTGGAAAAGGGTCAATACTGCTCTACCCTTAAAAATTCACATAAGACAAACCTCACATTCAGGTCATCTAAATTATCATTTACCCATTCAGACACGAAACAGGAGCTGAATGTAATAATCACAATGAATTCAGGCAAACCTGGATCCATCTGGTGTTTATTTCAGTTCAGAACACCCGTCATGATTAGAGGGAAGTTCCCTGCCCCAGAAGTGGGTCATTTTAAAAAAGCACCTGAGAGCTGCCCTCTGTAACCTTTTGAAGTTCAGGATTCTGTCTGAGATCTCAGGAGAAGGTAGTGGGACATATCGCCATCCTTCTCAATGTGTGACTCTGAAGATGTGGCCAGACCTCTAAACACTTTTGTGTGAAAATATGTAGATTGGGGATTGCAGTGACAACTTCAGACAAAAACTCTATAACAGGTCAGCTCTGCAGGACAGTCTCCAAGATCTGTGCAACTGCCATTCCTGGGAAGCAGAGATGACCTCTGTGAGCCATCCCTTCTGAGAGCACAAGAACTCTGGTCCTTCCCTGACAGACCATACCTGTGAAACATGGCTGGACAATGACACTGAAGCCCAGAGTCCTTACACACATATTTATCAATTCAGACCCATCTGTGTCTGAAAGACTTTCTCCTCCACTGAATTGTATAAACCTACCCTGGGGTGTGTGGTATTGCAACTTGGGTATTTGACATTAGTTTGGTGAAATGTCAAAGTCAGTATATATTATCTTTCTTTTTTCTGTTACAGACAGATACTTGTTCCATTAATAAATAACATATGTCCACGGATGTAGGCAACAGGAGAGTCATCAGAAGTTGGGTGTGTCATAAACTCAGGACAAACCTGGGCTCTCTTCCTGGGACCTGAACAAGTGAACTGACCTTCTGTGAGGTAACAGAGGGGAAGAGACAGACTCAACATCCAGAGCCAGGTGAACTCCTTACCTACCAGGTTGTCTCGTGGGCCTTTTGTTTGAACAGATCCAGGAAGACCTTCATCCCCTGGCTCCTTTCTCACCCTCAGAATTATGAACATTGAGGGAAATTGAGGTACATTTTTATTTACAGAGAATAATTCATAGGCTTGTAGACATTTATATGGGTATGTACAGGGATGCTAGGATATGTTCATACACAGAACATAAAAAATCATGGTATGTGGAGAGAAAACCAAAGAGCTTCTAAATTTGTAGGTACTGTTTACCACAAATGTGTCAGGTCACTAGATCATGTTATAATGCTAGATGTAAAACTTCCCAACATTGCCATAGAGACAAAATGAAAAAGAGTAAAGATTCAAGTGAGATTCCCTTGAATATCACCAGTAATGAACAGGCCAAAAGAAATGAACCATTATGGAAAGCATGGTAATTAAATCAAAACACAATGACTTCTATTGTGTTCTCTGAGCCAGACAAACTCTTACCTGCTTTAGAACCTTTTCAGTTCTCTGCTCTACGTGCTCTTCTCTAGGCTTGTAGCAAGCTAAACTGGTACTTCATCAGAGAGGCTTCTGCCCACATTGTCAAAAGTAGCAGAATTCGGTTCTCTGCTTTCCAACACATCACCTTCTTTCTATCATATCACTATTGCAGTTTGTAATTATTGATTAATTAATATGTTATTTTCTTTGATTAACTTATCTTCTTCCCCCCATATTATAAGTTCCACGAAGGCAAGACTCATACTTGTCACCATGGTTTATTTTACCACCATTCACTAAGTGAAATGGACGACTGTATCACTGTATGCTGCGGTTTGATATGCATTCAATTATGCTTAAAATGATTTGTCAAACATAATTATTCCCCTAGTTGTCATAGTGTGGCTTTAGTCATTTAAAACTACTGTTGTTACCACTACCACTATTATTGCTTTTTAAATATCCTGTAATAAAATAACTGATATCTCCTAACAGGCATCTGGAAACAAGAGCATGGTTCTTTGCCTGGGCAGACCTGGTGGGGATTACCAGAGTGTGGTGGTATCTCATACTGTCAGAGTTAGGTTTGTGTCAGTAGCATTTTAAGAGCTAGTGATGATGACTGTCTTGAAAGTTCAGTCATTCAGAAAGTTGAGACAACCTACATTCACTTAGGAGAAAGATAGAGCTTCCATGCATAGATCAGCACCTTCTCTGGGTTGTGTACTTTGTAATCATGCAGATCTAAATTTTATGCCCAAAGCTCTGATAAAATAGCTAATCCAAATATCCTTTTCCTTTTTTGGTCTTGGTCCATGAAGCATGATATTGCATGAGACAAGTATCACACAGAATTTTCACTTGTCGAGGCCTGGAAAGACCTAAGGACATTAATTTGTTTTGCTTGGAGCACTACTGGCTCGAGCATATTGGATTCATCCAGAAACTTACCTCTGAAATCCTAGAAATAACTGCTTTGACATTAAGCTTTCCCTTCTGTTTTGTATCATAGTGACTGTTATAAATAGATGTGGAAATTATTTATAATTGAACCTGTGTTGTTAAAATTTTACATTAGACTTTCAAAGTTTCCTCAAATTTATGCAGTGAAGGATAATTCAAGAGAGTCTTTCTCCCAGGAAACTTTCTTAGAAAATAATTTTAAGTTAACCAATGGAGTGCTTGTATTTTTTCTTATTAAAGATTCTCCAGAATTAATTTTCACAGTCACTTTTTACCTTTACACCTTTCAGTGAAACCTTGAGTCTGATAAATGTGTTAAATAGCTCAGACTGGCAGATATTAACATGGAAATTGACACCCATCAGCCCCAATTCCTACATTTATGTCTGTGTGCCTTTGGCCAAGTTATTGAAACTTTCTGAGGCTCTAGTGTTTCTACTGTAAAATAAGAATACTGTACTAATACTGTCTGTTATGGCAATATAATTCTCAAGGATTAATGGAAATAAACAAAGGCCTTAGCTAGGGACTTGGCACTACATGTCTAATCCCAGCAGCCAGAAGCAGCTCCTGCCACCTGCCTTCCCCTGGCCAAGTTGTCCTGCAGCTGGCACCTGAGGGTGTGGCAGGAGGGCCCACGGGTCCCTTTCAGAAGACAGGCTTCGTGTGCACAGACAGTGTAATGACACCAGTTCCGTCATACACTGGCAACCTGTTTAACACCTGGAAAGATTTGGTGTTGTACACAGGACTTGTTCATCCCCTATATACATGATATCCATAGATAAGTAAAACATACGCACAGACAGAAGAGGTGATCTTTAATCTCACCTCCCTGTGAGCACAGGCCTAGAACTCTGCACTTTGTCCTCTTGTCCTCTGAACCAGAGTGCTAACACAGTGGGTGAGACTCAACCAGGGATCCGGACATTACTCACCACCACAGAAAATTTCTAAAAGATATTTACAAAATATAGTATTTTACTACCTGTAATTTTAACATGTATCAGGCACTTAGAACATCTAGAAAGACTACATATTTCAAAATAATACTCAGCATTGCCAATGATGTACACTAGTGAGGAATAAAATGGAATCAACAAAACAATGGCAATTATATGGAAATGTCTTCTGAATATGACCAGCCTGGCAGGGAACACTGTTCCCTTCCTGCCCAGGTCTCCCCTCCATGTCCTCTCACCCACTGGACAAAGGTCGCCGTGTGGCTCCTGTGCTCCTTTCAGGGCTGGTCTAATAACTCCATTTCAAAATGTCATTTCCGCAAGACACACATTTTCTATGATTTTTTAAAAAGCAGATGGTAATTTACAAGATGTGTAATTTTCCTGACTCTGTCATACCTTGGAACCTCCTTACATCCAGATGGGACAGACGCAGCAAATATTTTCTTTTAAAAGACGGGGAAGCGATGAGTTCATGTCCTAGAACACGTGGACACAGGGAGGGAAGCATCACACACTGTGGTCAGTGGGGGGCGGGGCGGGGGGCTAGGGGAGGAACAGGGGGGCTGGGGAGGGTGGGGAGGGATGAAGAGAGGAGAAACACCGGATGTAGGTGACGGGGGGATGACGGCAGCAAACTGCCTTGCCATGAATGCACCTGTGCAGCAATTCTGCATGATCTGCACACGTACCCCGGGACCTAAAGTACAATAAAAAAAACAAAAAGCTGGAGAAGGCCGAGGGCGGCTTTTTCATGTGTCACACCCAGGCCTTCTAGAAATGGCCGGTAGAGGGTGGAGGGCACGTCCAATGGGACAAACGTGGAAGGTTCTTCTCCGTTTCTCCCCAGCCACGTCAAGGTCTGGCAGAAGAATGATCACTGCCCGGTGGTCGCTACCCGTGGTCCCGTCGTCCTCCAGGATTCTGCTCGCCTTTCTGGCCCTTAGGCCTTTGTCCCTTGTCAGGACTGAGTGGGTCTCTTCCAATTGGGACAGGAGTCACCCCAGGATCCGGAGTTTCAGGGCTGCATGGCCTAAGGGAGGACGGAGCAACGGCCCAGATCCCCCTTCCCGGCGGCCCCCGCGCCCCGGACCGCCCAGGTCCCAGCAGCCCCCGCGCCTCCCCCATACTGCACCTCCCATCAGCCCCTGCGTCTCCCCGGACTGCATGTCCCGCCGGCCTCTGCGCGTCCCCAGACCGCCCGCGTCCTCCGGCACCCGCACGTCCCAGGACCGCTGCCATCCCATCAGCCCCCGCGCCTCCCAGGACAGTGCGCGTCCCATCAGGCCCTGCGCCTCCCCAGACCGCCAGTGTCCCGCCGGCCTCTGCGCGTCCCCAGACCGCCCACGTCCTCCGGCCCCCGCACGTTCCAGGACCGCTGGCATCCCATCAGCCCCCGCGCCTCCCCGACCACCCACGTCCTGCCGGACACCGCGCGTCACTGTCGCGGCTGCCTCCGTGCTTCCCGTCCCGCCGCGCCAGCCCATCCAAAGGCCTGTGCCCGTGTAGATCGGCGGCGACTTCCTTTAAGTTGTGCAGGTTTTGGCCTGGAGACCCGGAGGCCGCGGTGACCAGCTGGGAGAGGCGGCGCCGCCATCGGGTCCCCGAGGTGGGCAGAGAGGTTCCCGCTGCTCTGAGGTCAAGGCTCGCAGGCGTCCCCGGCTCACCTGAGGCCCAGGGCGGACGGTCGCCGGACCTGACCCCGCTCCGCTTCTCACCAGCCCCCAGTGTCCCTGTATTCAGCCACCACTTCACCATGAAGGCGCACAGCTCTGAGCCCTGAGAGGCCCCTTGTTCCCTCGGAGACTCCGCAGGGAACACCGAGTGGGGCCCTGGATTCACAGCCCTGTAGGAGCTGCCGAAGGAGCCCCCTTGCTCTCCCACCACCCGGAACACGGAGCACGTTCTCAAGGTGGAACCATCCGGGCAGCTGGGACCAGGGAAGATGGTGAGGAGCTCACAGCAGCCAGAGTGCAGAGCCTGAGAGCTGGGACCAGGGAAGATGGTGAGGGGCTCACAGCCGCCGGAGTGCAGAGCCTGAGAGCTGGGACCAGGGAAGATGGTGAGGGGCTCACAGCCGCCGGAGTGCAGAGCCTGAGAGCTGGGACCAGGGAAGATGGTGAGGGGCTCACAGCCGCCGGAGTGCAGAGCCTGAGAGCTGGGACCAGGGAAGATGGTGAGGGGCTCACAGCAGCCAGAGTGCAGAGCCTGAGAGCTGGGACCAGGGAAGATGGTGAGGGGCTCACAGCCGCCGGAGTGCAGATCCTGAGAGCTGGGACCAGGGAAGATGGTGAGGGGCTCACAGCCGCCGGAGTGCAGAGCCTGAGAGCTGGGACCAGGGAAGATGGTGAGGGGCTCACAGCCGCCGGAGTGCAGAGCCTGAGAGCTGGGACCAGGGAAGATGGTGAGGGGCTCACAGCAGCCAGAGTGCAGAGCCTGAGAGCTGGGACCAGGGAAGATGGTGAGAGGCTCACAGCAGCCAGAGTGCAGATCCTGAGAGCTGGGACCGGGGAAGATGGTGAGGGGCTCACAGCCGCCGGAGTGCAGAGCCTGAGAGCGGGGACCAGGGAAGATGGTGAGGGGCTCACAGCAGCCGGAGTGCAGATCCTGAGAGCGGGGACCAGGGAAGATGGTGAGGGGCTCACAGCAGCCGGAGTGCAGATCCTGAGAGCTGGGACCGGGGAAGATGGTGAGGGGCTCACAGCAGCCGGAGTGCAGATCCTGAGAGCTGGGACCAGGGAAGATGGTGAGGGGCTCACAGCAGCCGGAGTGCAGAGCCTGAGAGCTGGGACCAGGGAAGATGGTGAGGGGCTCACAGCCGCCGGAGTGCAGATCCTGAGAGCTGGGACCGGGGAAGATGGTGAGGGGCTCACAGCAGCCGGAGTGCAGAGCCTGAGAGCTGGGACCAGGGAAGATGGTGAGGGGCTCACAGCAGCCGGAGTGCAGATCCTGAGAGCTGGGACCGGGGAAGATGGTGAGGGGCTCACAGCAGCCGGAGTGCAGATCCTGAGAGCTGGGACCAGGGAAGATGGTGAGGGGCTCACAGCAGCCAGAGTGCAGAGCCTGAGAGCGGGGACCAGGGAAGATGGTGAGGGGCTCACAGCAGCCGGAGTGCAGATCCTGAGAGCTGGGACCAGGGAAGATGGTGAGGGGCTCACAGCCGCTGGAGTGCAGAGCCTGAGAGCGGGGACCAGGGAAGATGGTGAGGGGCTCACAGCAGCCGGAGTGCAGATCCTGAGAGCTGGGACCAGGGAAGATGGTGAGGGGCTCACAGCCGCCGGAGTGCAGATCCTGAGAGCGGGGACCAGGGAAGATGGTGAGGGGCTCACAGCAGCCGGAGTGCAGAGCCTGAGAGCTGGGACCGGGGAAGATGGTGAGGGGCTCACAGCCGCCGGAGTGCAGATCCTGAGAGCTGGGACCGGGGAAGATGGTGAGGGGCTCACAGCAGCCGGAGTGCAGAGCTCTGTTTGCTCTCCGGCGTCCCAGTCCACCTGGATCTTAGCCTGGCATCATCTCAGCAAGGCCTGGGTTATTAACTAGAGACTTTGAAGTCACCTGGAATTTTGCAGCTGGGTCTCCAGACTTTGTGTGTCTGTCTCAAAATTAACTTCTGGAACTTCCAAAAAGGGCACATAATTTGATACAAGCATACCATTAGATAAATGTGAAGAGAATATTTATGGTAAAAAGGAGAGAGGTGGAGTCTATTTTAAGGCTTAAGAAAATTGATTCTGCTCTTTGCCTTAAGATTATATCTCTACACCCAAGAGAGAGAAAAAAGTTTAACCTCCCCCTTCTAAGACTGCCTTGCTTTCCCTTTGTCCTCTGCCATGATTGTACGTTTCCTCAGGCATGCCAAGCCATGCCGAACTCTTTGGTGTGGAGATCACTGATGAAATGTTTGACTTACTACTTGACAGAATCCCCCTTGATGAAGATGAAAATGTCAGAGACCTTTAATTCATGACCATGTTGCATTCTTGGCAGCTGTCTACCCAAGGATCCCATGTCCAAGAGCAGGATTCTCCTTCCAAAGCGTGGGTGTGGACATGAGGAGCAGCCTTTAGGAGATGGGGCTGCCCATAGTTGATATAACCTCCTTTGATTTCTTGGAGGTTTGCAATCTTCAGGCTGTCTGTCATCCAGGACCTGGCTGTTTGTCAGACAGACTGCATCCTTTTGGGTGAAGAACTCTGTATCAATTTCCTAGGGCTGCCAAAATCAAATACTATGAACTAAGTGGCTTAAAAGGACAGACATGTATTATCTTACAGCTGGAGACTGGAAGTTCGAAATCTGGTGTAAGCTCTGCTGCACTACCTCTGAGGCTCAGGAGAGTGCTTGCTTGCCCTTTCCTCACTTGTGGAAAGGGTGAGGGGGTGACTGGTAATCCCTGACATGCCGTGGCTGGCTGCTGCACCACTCTGATCTCTGCCTTGGCTGTCATATGGCACACTGCGTGTCTCTGTCTGTGTCCAAGTTTTCTTGCTCTTATAAAGACACCAGTCTTCCCAGATTGAGGGCCTGCCCTACATGACTATGACCTCATCCTCACTAATAACATCTCCAGGTACCATATGTCCAAGTAAGGAATTGTTCTAAGGTGCTTCTGGTAAGGACTTTGACATATCATTTGGTGACACAATTTGACATGGGACAAACCCTGTTTCAAACCTACCATGTCTAGTTTCTTACACATTTTGTTGGGTGGGAGAGGTAAAAGTAAGAATGAACTCCTGTGTGTTCTCTGACAATAGCAGTAATGATGGCTTCACTGTTGGTTTTTCTACTTTTGAGGTTTTGGGACCCGGACTGGGACTCCTTGCTCCTCAGTTGCAGATAGCCTATTGTGGGACTTCAGCTTGTGATCATTTGACTCAACACTCCGTAATAAACTCCCCTTCCAATACCTACTTCTATCCTATAGTTCTGTCCTTCTAGGTAATCTTGACTAATACAGTGGGAAAAGTGAAGACCTCAGTACATCAACCACATTTCACTGATGAGAACTTGTCCCACAGAGAGCAGAGGATATGCAGGAAATAGAGAGGGGTTGGGGGACATTGTCCATAAAAGAACAGAAGCAACTTAACTCCCCATGAAACAAGGGTTTGAACATTAGTTCACAGCTAATGATGGCTTATGTCATGACCTCCACGAGGTTTCAGAAATAATTTCTATTAACGTATGTAATATTTTATTAATTTTTCTTTCATAGTTTATTTTTTGCTCTGTAGGCAGCACCCTAGGATGTTTTCAGAATTTTCCCCAATCCTCTTTGAGTTCCTGGTACAGTTCCTGGAAAAAAAGCCGGCATGGGGAAGGGGCCCTCCTCATGTGCTGCCCCTGAGGCCGTCATGTCACTTCACCCACCCACTTCAGTCACTTGGTCAGCATTTCTGAGAACCTTCCTGAAACATATGGCATTTGGCAGCGCCTTCCCTATGTTTTTAGAGACTTCAGTTCTGTTTGTCCCTGCGGACACCTGTCACTTTCTGGAATACAGTTTTTGAGCGTGTAGTAACTGATCATTAATAGAAGGTTTGTGCGCATCTTGTCATCTTCTAGAGTACTTGCCATTGGTTTGACATCATCAAGCAAACAAGGGGACTCGCTCAGCTGGAGGACAGCAGGCATTTCTATAGCCAGTTACCCCAGCGGGGCTCTCACTCTCCAAGACCTATGAGGCTCATGCCTCTGGCTAATATGCAGCCAGCAAGGGGACCAGTGCTCACCCACGAGACGCTTTCTTCTACATCCCTCCCACTTTGTAAATGGAAGCTTTTGCTTCTGCCTGGATGTTGTGCCCGTGTTTTCATTTTCCGTACAAAGGGCCTCTTACAGAAACACCCACAAAGCTTACAGTGAATCCAGTGGAACTATAGAGAATAATACATGATGTGCCTCATGACCAAGGTCTCCACTTCTTATTGAAGGACATTCCTAATGGGATTCACCAGAAGTTGCATTCTTTCCATAGACATGGATCTACCTCTAAACACTTAGAGACCATATCCTCTGAGAACGGACACAGGAAATCAGGAGTCACAGAACCTGTCTGAGAATATACATTTCATGAATCCTCTAAAAAGAGTCCAAATGGGAATACCCCCACTCACTTTTCCTCTTAACTGGCATCATTACCAGGCACGCTCTCGAAGAACCTGTGGTGCTTTAAGATAATTTAGGCTTGGTATGCCAAGGGACCACCAAAAAAAAAAAAAAAAAAGAACAAATCCTTCCATATAAGTTCATTCGTTGTAACGTATCTATGACTCTTGGGAAGGATGGTGATAGTGGGCAAGGCTGTGTGTGTGTGAAGCAGGGGCGCAGAGTAACTCTCTACACCTTCTGTTCTATTTTGTTGTGGTCTTAAAACTACTTTGTAATACACTTTTATGTAAAAAGAGTGGCAGAGATATTTTGGAATGCATTTGGGGCAGTTTTTAGAAATCAAATTTAATCTTAGCCATGTTACCAGCAATCTTGCTCCAAATTATGTATCTATTTGATTTTAAAACTTAGGTCTGCACAAAGCCTCCCTGGGAATCTTTGCATCAGCCTGATTGATTGCTGCCGTTACCACTCTGTGGATTTTGCATATGGGGGTCTCCGTTGAAAGAAATAGTTCCTATATAGAGTGCATATACGTTTCTCAATTGTTTAGCCTCCTCCCTGGGGTTTCTGACACTCTCAGAATGTGGGTTTTCACACCGTGTATCTTGCACAGTGATACACAGCTGTGTCCTCAGGTCTCAGGCTCCTCAGCTCCATATAGATTGTGCTCATGGACCTGTCTCTGGTAATGGTGACTCTGCCTTCGAACTTCTGTGCATAGTTGGTGTTACCATTGTAAGGCGTGATCCATCCCATCCACTCAAGCCCTTGTCCAGGGGCCTGTCGCACCCAGTGCATGTAGCGGTAGGTGAAGGTGTATCCGGAAGCCTTGCAGGAGACCTTCACTGAGGCTCCAGGCTTCTTCACCTCAGGCCCCGACTGCACCAGCTGCATCTGGGAGTGGGCACCTGTGGGGAGGACGCAGGAGTGGATAAAAGCCCCCTTGGCTGGACTCAATCCCCTCCTCATCACTGGGACTTGGGAGCCCCTTACCTGTAGCTGCTGCCACCAAGAAGAGGATTCTCCAGGTCCAGTCCATGGTGAGGAGCTGAGCTCTCAGGGGATTCTCTAGAGCAGGGATGTGGTTGTTGGGTGATGCTCTCAGGACACAGAACTTATTTACCTCAGTGGATCTCAGATTATTTACATATTTATGAAACAGCATTTCATAGTTCAAAGCGTGATCCGTGATGAGAAAGAGAAAATAAATGACACATGAGCCTTACAAGAGTGGGATGCTGATGGTTCAAGCCCTAGTCCTGCTTGAGAAATGCAGGCCCTGGTCCATTTAGAAATATCTCTGGACAGAGGTCCTTTCACCGAAGAATAAGCCCCCTCAGAACAGGCTCCTCACTGTGAACCTACGTTTGATTAGCATAGAAAACACCTGGATCATTTTTGGGGTCATCAATCTTCATGACACTGAGTAGGTGCCTTGGCCTTATCCTGAATCTGTTAGGCACCAACACAGCTCACTGGTGACTCTCAGGAAGTGACTGCTGAGGTTCCACGGGAGTGTCCAGCAGGTTCATGTGAGATCCACTGGGCGCTCCTGAGACAGTGTCTCTAGCACCTGCCTGGTGCCCGATCCCCCAGGATGTCCAATGCAAACACTCTCGGTTTACAGATTTGCCCTGTGATGCATAATTGGAGATGATTTTCTTATATCATGGACACTAGGAATTAGAAGTTGAAAGTTTGGAGTCCTTTATAACTCACTGCTCAAAAAATAATTTCCAAGTAATTTGTGTATTGAATAAGTTTGGGCTTTGCTTCCTACTCCATTTAATAGAATTTCATGAAATGATTACATACTTTTAGTTCATGTCCATAGATCCTCATCTTTTCATATTGATTTCTGACTCACTAGGTCTGTGCACCTGCCACACTGTCAGATCCACCTGTCACTCACACAATGCAGGAAACATTATTTAACACGGATATCTGAATTTATTATTCATAGGAATGTAGTGACTCCCACAATCCTATATTAATTGAATGAGTAAAACCATCCCTATTGTTCATATTCTCGCTATTAAGATATTGATAATACTAGAAGCCCACTATTAAAGTAGTTCTCATTGCCTTAAATCCTTTGCGTGGTTCAAATGTGATGTAATATTTAGGGGCACATCAGCAACTTGTTGAACTCTTATTTTAGCTTTTCTTCTGACAAAGGAAGACCCATCGTCCCCTGAGACGAAACCTTCTCAGCAGCCTCCTGTGCACCTGCTCCTTGGCTGGAACGTGTGCTGCGTGGCTCCTGAGCGCCCCCTCCAGCCCAGCCCTAGCCTTGCAAGGAGGTTCCTGTTGGGGCTCACAAAGCATTTTACCCCAGCTTCTGTAGCCCAGCATGACGTGGCTGTGTCCTGGTTTAGAAAACCCCTTCAGTGACCCCATATGCTGCTGACACCATCTCTAAAAATAATTTATTAGCCTTACTAAACCTATTGGACTCTGCAGAGAGACCCAAATCAAGGATTCTATGACGCAGGAGGGAACTCCTTCTCGGAAGCTCCAATAATTTGTAATTATTGGATCCTTGTTTCTTCATTGGGCTCTTGCATGTGGATGTTGCATCTGAGAATACCAGCAGGTGCAGATACTTTCAGACGAAATCTCACTCCATATCCACTATTCTAATAACATACATTTTCTCTTCTTCCTTGCACCTAGCCTGTAGAAAGTGCCTCCTACCCTGACACTGGGCCCAGGTGTCTGACTTTTTTCCCTTAGAGATCTAAGGCAAACAGGAAGCAAGTGGAGACTTGGGAAGAGCATACAGGTTGTTATTTTCACTTTCTCAGCTGGGAGCTCAGCAAAGGCCCCATGAAAAAAGAAGCTGAAGCCAATGAGGGAGTTTTCAAGACCTTGACCTTAAACATGGTGCTGTCAGGGGTTTCGTGTTGCTCTACTGTCCTTGTCTTACTCTCTGCCATTGTCTTTTAGTTTCCCTGTGTCCTCCTCAGATAGAGTCTGTGCATTTCCACATTTCCATCTTCGATCCAGAGCCACCATCCTGGTTAGAATGGATCATGCACTGAGGGTGAGCACGGCTTGTTCTGACACTGGAAACCTAGGGACTCGATCATCTTCCTCTCCTGGGCTGTGACCTTGGCTGGGCATCTCCAGGGGAAGAGCTCACTTTTGGCCACCTCTGCCTGTTGTGATCGCAGTGTTCCTGGACTATTTACTTTCATCTGACCCTATTGGTTAACTTTACTCATTTGTATAATAATGGAAGAATGAGAGAGAAATTAGGGATGGGCTATTTGTGTTCCTTCATATAGGATAAGGTTCTGGAAAAGTCCTTCCCTGTAGAAGCTTTTGAAGAAGGATCCTGGTATGTTTCTCAGTTATTAATCATCTCCAATCTGACACACAGAAAATGTATTTGGATTGTATTTTTTAGAATCTAGAGGTTTCTGGATAGAAAGTCCAGAAAACATAGGACAAGACCGTCTGGAAGTGTCATATTTACTGAGTCCACATCTGTATCTCAGAAATCTATAATGCCTACCATAGAGGTGCCCTCAGCAGCCTGTGGCTTCTGCAGCTTCTGTTCCGGTTAAGCAAGTGTCAGTTGCCATTCCGGACATGTGCATCTCTCCCGGTTTTTGAGTGGGTATATATATATATATTTTACAATTTCAATTGCTTAATAGATTCCAAAAGTATTGAGTTTCATATTATGCAGAATTCTTTTGACATAAAAATGAAGGTGGTAAATTTTATAATCTACATCTTGGAGCATAAACCAAAAATACAATTAAAGATCGTTGAATTCTAATCTTATTACGTATAACTGACAGCTGTTCTGACATAAATGAACAGGCAAGAAAGTGGAGAAAGGATCTGGCATCATGTTTATGAAGAAGTCTCAATTTTAATTTTCTTCTGAGGAAGCTGAAATTGTTGAAGTGAAACAATGTGACTGGTCATGTCTCAGGTAATGATGTGTTCTGCAAAGTATCTCCAAACCTGGGCTAGATACAGTAGGTGCATCTGGACACCCAAACCTGAAATAAGGACTCTTATTTTTTAAACATGAGACATTCCAATGAGAAAGCTGTTCTCAGGTGAGTTGCAGAGCAGGGAGTAAAAGATGGAGCTGTCCTTGGTTTCCCAGAGTTGCTGAAACTTGAAGACCAAGGCCACCTCTGAGGAGCAGAGATCCACCTAAGAGAACACCACATCAGCTCTGTCTTCAGGAATCTTTGGTTGTGTGGGAAGATAAGAAATACAGTTTATTCCTTTCTGCTAATGCAGTGTTTTTCAGAGAAAAATGAAATTAAAAATTCAATAAATATTTTTTGCCATATTAGTGGAGAGAGCATGTATACATGATGGCAATACAGGTGCTCACTCCATAGCTTGCAGAAGTGCACAATTGAGGGAAGGAAACGCCCTGCCCCAGGAAGCACGTGCCCTAAGATCATCCCCTGAGAACTGCCCTCTAGATGCCGTGTGCCAGTGGAACCTGAATTCTGCCTGGGATGTTGTAAGTAGTGTGCAGAGCAGAGCTCCATTCTTCCTCACTGTGAGGCCCAGGATGTGGCCTCTTCCTCTCAGCTTAATATCAACAAGGTGTTAATATAGAATCGCAGTATCAAATTTACCTGTCACCTTTCCGTTAGGAGCGGTGGATGATCCTGCTCTGTATTGTCATCACTATTTCTGTCCCCACCCTTAGAAACCAGAACAGTACCTGTGTGTCCCCCTCATTTCAGGCCTCAGATGACGACTTTTCAGAGAACACACCTGCTTTGTTTCTCTCACAAACATGGTATTGGATACCGGAAAGTCTGTGTACCTTGTTATAGATTCTATGTTAATTAGGTTGCAACAGACAAAATTAGAATTATAAATGACACTTAAAAATTTAGCTTAAAAACATAAGCATAGGGTGGATGATGTTTTTTGGGTTCTCTTTGCTTAATATAGTGTGAGTGGAGAGAGATAAAGAGTAGCTATTCAGCAACGTGTAATAAGGTATTTTATAAGTAAAAAAGGGTTCTCACATCTTCTGGAACACTTACACACTTTTTAAAAAATGAAGGAATTTTTAGACATATTTCTGTATTCTAGATACATGACTAATATAAACTAAGATTTAACTGCAAAAAGAGATACATGGAAAATGAAAATTCTATAGCAGATCATTTTGCCAAAGAGGCAGCTTTATACTAGCTGTAATTTTACCTAAATATTCAAAATATAAACTCTATAGACATTCAAATAAGAAATTATAACATTTCAATGTTAGAGGAGTGGTTGAGAGAATGTTGAACTAACATTATTTTGATGAATCATACTTCAATAATAAAACTGTGTCTAATGGTTCACCTACTCAAGAGGCTGATAGGGTAAATAGTTTCTGCCTCCCCTACTTGGGAGTCCTGGCACAACCCAGCATTCTCTAAGCATGGCGGCCACAAAAAGCAGAGACAGAAGTTTGAATATTCTGACATAATGATGAACTCTTGAGAGATCCACAGTTGCTGACTGGGGTGACTGTTGGGGTGGTCGCTATGAACCCAGTCTTTGGAGAGTGGGGCCCTTTGTTTTGATGATCTCAGAGCTGTTTGTTATGAACAGAGAGCAACAAAGACGGTCAAGGAAAATGAAGAAACAGGAACATGGTCCAAGCAGAGACCGGCATGAATGAAAAAAAGCATGTGGGTTTCCCGGCAGGAAATTTGAAGCAAATAGGAGAAGCATGTTTAATAAGTTGGTGCCATTGCTTTTGGTGTGTTAGTCATGAAGTACTTGTCTGTGCCTGTGTCCTGAACGGTAAACGCCAAAATCAACAAACGGGATCTAGTTAAACTTAAGAGCTTCTTCACAGCAAAAGAAACTATCGTTAGAGTGAACGGGCAACCAACAGAATGGGAAAGCATTTTTGCAATCTACCCTTCTGACAAAGGTCTAATATCCAGAATCTACAAAGAGCTTAAACAAATTTACAGGAAAAAAACAAACCACCCCATCAAAAAGTGGGGAAAGTATATGAACCGACATTTCTCAAAATAAGACACCGATGCAGCCAACAAACATATGAAAAAAGCTCATCATCACTGGTATTAGAGAAATGCAAATCAAAACCACATTGAGATACCACCTCACGCCAGTTAGAATGGCGATCATTAAAAATCAGGAGACAACAGATGCTGGAGAGGATGTGGAGAAATA